ATCCTTGAAGTATTTACTAAACTAGTCAGCAGCTCGCCTAGTAAGATAAAAAATATAAGGTGTAATATACATATAAGGTGTGTGAAGTGTGACATAACGACTGATTATTACTATTTATTCATAAATTTTCGTATACGCTCTGGTTATCTTTGATGGAATTCTCTACTTCGTCTAAAAATTTACAGATGTTTTATTTGCTAGACTTCAGTATTCCTATGTTTAGCTGGTTTCATCATGAGCCCTGCCTGATTTCTCTTGACAAATCAGGACGAATAATTCTGATTCGTCCTGTATTGTAATTACTAATCCATCCGAAGTGTGGGAGAACCATGCTTCGGCGTGAATGGGCCGGTTCGACCGGAAAGATAACACGACCTCACAGAAAACCAACGTGAAACAACGCTGGCGTTGTGTTTCGTCGTGTGAGTGAGGTTATTTCCCCCCCCTCCTGCCACCCAATCCTTGAATCCCCTACAGCCCTCAAATTCCCAATTCTCAAAAGGCCGGTAACGCACTTGTAACGCCTCTGGTGTTCCAGGTGTCCATGGGCGGCGCCGATTGCTTACCATCAGGTGGTGTCTGCTCGTTACCGGCTTTATTAATAATATTAATGCGATTGTAAGCTTGTTACTCTTTTACGTCAAAATGGCTGAAGGTATCAGGATGATATTTGGGGCAGGGCTAGACATACAATACTTTTTAAACCACGGGAATGTTGGTGAAGCTCCTAGCAGAAGGTACTTTATAATAAAATGTATCAGAGATTATTGCATCCCAACAGACACTACAGCTTTTTTGATATTATTATTTTTTTTTAAAGGAGGAAAATCATCTAATGACTGCTCCCGCCTAGGTGAGGCGGGAGGGTGTCAGACTCTTACTGACTAAAAACCACCTCGTTCCTTCTTCTGCACGTCGAGCCGGAGCCCCGGTAACCCGTTAGGTTCTCCGCGACTTTTATATAAGTATGGAAAACAATAAATATGTAAAATACTACATTGTTTGTAATATGACTGGCTCGGGACTCAAAGCGGGGGTATGTCACGTTCTATCATGTCGATCATATTCGTTGAGCCGCCGGGCGCGCGGTGAAGCACGTATGTGTCGTTTGTTGACAACCCTGACGTGATAGGGTTGTCAGATTTATTTATTTTTCGCCCGAATATTGAAATGCTATACAATATTAAGTTGTACTTGAATATTGTGCCTTATCTGTCATTTCACAAAAAAAAATAGTGATAAAAATATTATTGAGAGCGTCTTAAAATTGAGAAACGGTTGACTATAGGAACAGAGATTTAGCTAAATGTTATTTAATGACACGATTGCCTTATTGGCGGATTGGTCGCAAGTGCGACTGTCGCGCGTAACGGGTCTCGGGTTCGATTCCCGGGTCGGGCAAAATGGTACTGGGTTTTAAAAAAAATCTCACTACCGTAAAACGGAGTGAATAGAATTTGAGGGGTGAATAGATACAGGAATGGGGTAAATAAATGTTAGAATATTTTCCCAACATTTATTCATAGTAGCACGGAGTCTATAAATGTATCCGGTATATGGCAATTGGCTCACCCCCTATTATATGGGACTCATAACAATATAAATAGTGAAAAGTGTATGTGACAAGGAACAGTGACATTAATTGCTATAATGTGCACCTCTGCCTACCCCTTCGCGGATAAAAGGCGTGATGGCGTGGTTATGTTATGACGCGATGGCCATGTAATCTTCATTGGGCAATGGACATAACATGGCCTGTGTGAACAAGCAAATCCATTGGGCAATGGAGATTACATTGCATCGTAAAAAATAAAAGCGAACTTTACTAGACTTTTGTTCTGATGTTATATTTTTGGATTTCATTAGCACTAATAAAAAGTCCCATTTTATAATACTAATTCGAGGATCAAAATTAAGATCTCAGGTTTAACAATCACGCAATAAACTTTTCCAAAATATTATAACTTTTCTGTCGCGACAACCCTAGCGAGCGTATGCATACGATGGTAAACGAAACGAGTTTACCAAATACACCGGTGGTATCAACTCCCTATTGTACTTGCTAATTTTGGTATGTCGGTATTTGGGGATACCCGAATACCGGCCAGCTGGACTTAGGGGCTTCTGAATGAGTACATAGTCTAGGTTAGCTGGCAATTAGAAATTGTGCTTTGACAAACTTATATTCAAAGTGCACGTTGTTCCGTGAAGAAGTAAACACATTTTTTTAAGGGGGATAATCATGCAATGACTTCACCCGCCTTGTGTGAGGCGGGACGGAGTATCAGACTCTTACTGACTAAAAACCATCCCGTTTCTACTCCTGCTCTTCAAGCCGGAGCCCCAGCAACACTAGGCCTTCTGTGGCTCCGAAGAGGTAAACTCTAACATTCATACATACATACCTACATAACTTCACGCCTGCCTCCCATTGGATTAGGCAGAGACTATGCAACGCCAATTACTACGATTCCTACATACCTCTTTCGCTTCATCAATAGTCATCAATCTTTTCATGCATGCTCGTCGATTAAGGGCACTTTTAATATTCATATTTGTTATACAAAATCATATTACAGGTTAATTGGTACCAATAAGAGTATAATTATAAATTATTTATTTATAAAATATCAAAATGAATTAATTTTGTGTCTAGACTGTGATCTCTAAACTGAACAAACATAGACTAAACACGGAAATTATAAAAAGTAAATCGTCCCTCAATAGAGATGTTTGCCCATAAGACGTTTTTTTAAAAGAGTAACGAATGGAGTTTCTTGCTCGTTCTTCTCCACTCGAATCGACATTTTGGAACGAGCACCTAGCTTCACTGACGGACAGACTGACAGACTATATTATATATTTCATGTTTGTTGACGTTTCAAAAGTACCAAATTATGGTTTAATTGAAATAAATGCTTTTGAGTTTGAGTTTAAATTTTAAGTAGCATAGTGACAGGCTAATGATGCGTAGCAGTACGTATTTGTGAAATTTATGTGAAAATATGTACGTGAATGTCGTGGTGGCCCGGAGGTTTAAGACGCCTGATTCTCATACATGAGAAAGCGGGTTCGAAACCTAATAACGTCTAGAACCGATGTGACTTTTCCGAGTTATATACACTTTCTAAGATTATTTAGACACCACAGGCAAACGGTGAAGAAAAAACATCGTGAGGAAACCTGGGCTTATAATTTCTAATTATAAGTTTGAAATCGCCAACATCGCATTGAGTAAGCGTGGTGATTAATGCTCAAACGTTCTCCGTGTGAAAAGAGGCCTTTGGTCAGTAGTGGCCACTTACAGGCTGTTGATGATTGATGATTGATGATGGATACGTATTCGTGAGGTAAGATTATTGTATTGTCCTGAAAAGAGATCTTGATACTTTTCACTGTACCTTTAAATAAACTGTAATGCTATAAGATTTATTACCACAATACAAAGCTGCGATGTATCTTCATTTCGACAGTACTTTCGTTTGAAATTACTGAAGTCGGATTCTATTGTCTTTTCGACATTACCTAAGTGATTTACTGTTTTAAAATATTGCTACTACTATCACATTTAATTTTCTCTGGAGTTTTTTTTTTCTTTATTTTAATTACGAAGGGTTTTATCAAAATTGACAATGTCACCCTCATCAGGATAGAGTTACTAACTTATAATCTACGCTTAATAGCTAAATTAACTATTCTATACACTTTTTTGACTTTGACTATGTTACATTTACAATGCGACTCTTTCAGGCTCATTCCTGTAGTTGTAGTACGAAGTCGACATTATCAATCAACAGCCTGCGACAATAGGGTAGATACAATTTTTTATTTTAATGTCCATCTGGTGTATCTATTATTTAAAAACATTAGACACATATTTTTCATTGTCTTACGAATTTTCTTCCGAAGATATATCGATTTGAAATATCGCATGACGTCACTTTTGAGTACGGCTTTGTCTACATTATGGAGGTTTGTCATAGGTAATTTCCGCGCTTGCCAGGTGAGTTGAAGATCGTAGTTAAGTCTAGGTTCATCAGAGTGTGCTGCTGTTTGACCTCTGATAAATGTGTTAAAGGTGTGTTGACAAATGTACTCAGCTAGGCTATTCTCTAAGATGTCAATTCGAAGTCTCGAAGCGAATTCTCGCACGTCATTGATCGAGATTTTTCTCACAACCAATGACATGGCGGACCGCGATCGAGCTCACATCAAAAGTTCGAATTGACATCTTACAGAATAGCCTACCTGCTTTGCCATTACAGGTATTGATGTATTTTTATGCGGTAGTTGACAACTAGTCAAATTCAATACTTTTATCGAAACGTCAAAAACTATGAATATTGATGATGTTGATGTTGTAGATGTTTTATGAATTTTGTACGAAACACCATCTTTGACATCATCTTATTTTTGCGTAAAATAGTACACTTATATCTAAGAAAAATGCTTGAATAAATCGAAAATTAAGTATATAGGCAAATTAATGAATGAAAGTGTAACTATTTTTCAATATTTAATTGGACTGAAAAATCAAAATAGGTAATTTATTTTTGACCCAGGAAACTACCCAATTCTATGTGTGATTAAAATAATCAGACAATTTGCAAGTGATTTAATTAGGGCAATCGGACACAAAATAGCACGAGTGCTAAGATTGAGTCCCTTATTTATATTTGGTAGGTGTTAGAAATTGGCGTTTTATTACTGTAGCAGCTGGTGAAAAGAAATTATATAAAATTGTCGTTTTTTTTCTTAATTTTACATCAATGTAATTGGCTTCATATTTGCTGTACATTTGTATAGCATCAAACCGCCCACATGAGTCAAAAAACTAACTATAAAATACTCACATTATCTACATCCCTTTTTGGAAGAGGCTCATATCCAGAAGCGGACTGGGATAGGCTGAGTAGTATGTCAGCTGCGGTCTACATAGAAAGGGAAACTGTTAATTTGTCACACCATGCTGGCAGCCCTAGTGTAGGGTGTATACTCACTCGTGGGGCGCCGGCCACGTGGGCGCGTGTTTGTGTGTCGCAGCCCTAGCGCGCGCCAGTAGGGTCATCACGGCGCGTTTAGTCGGTGACATAGCGGCCCGAGTGCCTCCCAGCAGTGGTCGCTTGCGCGCCGTACTCGCAGCCCCCGGCCCAGCTGCACCTGACACATAATAAGTTGGTTTGACAACCCTATTGCAACGTCATAGTTTGGGCTTTAGACTTCGACACGTTTTACAAACTTTTTGTGAAAGAGATAGCTATACTTTGTTATGACCGTCTCTTTCTTCACTGAGATAATTTTAAGACGGTAGGAGGTAATCCTTTTCAAGTTTGTGAAAGGTGTCGTTGCCTTCGGGGGCTGGGAGTAATAAAGTCATAAATACAACTATGCGAAAGTAATCTTGCTATCATACTGTTCAGTAAAATATTTCAGAAACGAATATAACTTTTTCAAATAAAGCATTTTCCCACTACACCACTCCTGGACACTTTTATTGCTTGGCGACCCAAATGGACCTATTTTTCAAGAAGGTTAGTTTCAGAAATCTTTCGACATTTACTAAGCGAAAACCGTTTTCCTTTTATTTCTCAATTATTATGAAAGAACAAGAACGACTAAATAGCTTAAGACTATAAATTAATTCAATTCCAATAAGATAATTAACTAGGCAATCACAGTCGTCCGTATGACGTCACAGCTCATGACGTGGCGCGCTCGTAATTGTTCTGTGGTCGATCCAATACGTGCAAGTCAGTCAGTCAGTCAGTCAGTCAGTAAGCTGCCTTGTTTGTCTTAATACAGCTAAATTTAATTAGTATTATTGTATACAATACATGTATTGTATTGTACTGGTAATGATATTGACTGATGTTAATTAATATATTGTAATATTATTGTAGTCTGGTTTGATTAGGAAGACAAGTAGAATATTACTATAATTATTATATGTATGCCTACATTAGTAGCCTGAATAGTCCCAGTATTAAGATGTCTCGGCCATATGACGTTTACAGTTCAATTACTAAACGCAAAATAATGTTTATGCAATGAAACTTGATAGTATTTTATTTGAAGAAAGTATCATTTCTACGTATCTAATTGCCTTAAGTAAAATCAAAACATTTGTTAAAAGAGACGCTATAATAGAATATTAATAAGATTTCCTTAGGGTGCATGCACATCTGCCAAATTTGCTGTTCGCGAGCCGGTTGCGGGCTACCTGCGAGCTGCGCGCGTGTAGTCACGGCAGCTCGCGATCGGCTCGCGAGCTGCGCATTCGCGGAGAATTCGCCAGATGTGGACGCACGCTAAGAATTAAGTCTTAATCACTTTTATCCTTACTAGTCCTTACTAATATTATAAATTGTGAAAGTGTGTTTGTTTGTTTGTTCCGCTTTCACGCCGAAACTACTAAACCGATTGCTTTGAAATTATGCAGACGTAAAGTTATAAGTCTGGATTAAATAATACTGCTCGTGGGGTACTTTTTATCCCGGAAAAATTTGATATTCTAGAGGGAAAACGAAATTATTGTTATAGATGGCACTGTGTGTATTGGTATATGTCGCATAGGCTACTTTTTATCCTTTTGTGACGCGAGCGAAGCCGCGGGTAAAAGCTAGTAACTTCAATAAACAAGCCAACATTTCAAAAATCTTATGCAGATCCTTGTCATCGAATTCCAATAAATCCGTAGTTAAAACCTTTATCTTGTTGAAAACAAACAATTAAGTTTAATGTTAGTAATAAAATGCAACTGAGCACTATTATAAAACAGAACTAAATGACGTCTAGACGAGTCGTTCAAGTTTGCTCAATTTACGAGGCCCCTCTGTGCCGTGCAAGACATAAAAATCTAGCGATTCTCTGCTAAGTAAAATATAGTCTAAAATTACTTCGTAAGTTTTTAATTCTTTCACGAAATAGCCGCAAAATTATATTCCCAAATATTTTTTTTTAATCTACAATTATCTAGACGAATAATAGAAAGTGACACGTGTCCTTTGCTGGCCGTAATCAGAACGTCCGACTTGATGGCTCGACGCGAACTATTACTATAAAATGAAATTAAAGTGAGCCGTAAATGCTGATTATGATCTACAATGTGGGGTTGCACCGTACAGTATGTCTTCTTGTACGTGATATATCCTCTAGCAGTCAAATCTATCGTCTAATAAAAATACCTACAAACCATTTTCCAAGAAAACTTAACGACGGACACACTTTCAATTAAGGATGTTTAAAACAAGGCGGGCACAGTCCCTTGAAACAACGACTGTGGCACCTGGCTACTATAGACTTACACGCAGAACATGCAACATTGACACGAAGGACATCTGTCAATTTCTTAAGTCTGGTAATGTGGTAACCAATTACACACGCACACATAAGTAACCTTGACTTGTGTGCCTGGCTTATACTGAGTGGGTGACCCTTTTAGCATAGGCATGTTGTCAGCGTTTTTTTTTCTAATTCTTCTGTTTTAATTTTTCAACTCTTATATGTTTATTACTTCCACTGTCGTACTTTGATTGTCTTTTTATATTTTATTTATGCTGCATCGTGCCTGGTGCTAAATAAAGGTTTTTTCTTTCTCTCTTAACCCACTGACATTTTGGTGCTTCAATCATTTCTAAGTGGCATTTTGTCCACCATTTTTTCAACCTCCTCAATTGAAACCTTTGTTTCAATTAAAATCTCCATCACTTTACACTTGCACCAACCACCAACCCTTCAGATGTCGTTTAAACTTTACAATATTCAACGGTATATTCCGAAACGGTTTTCAATTAAGGGATGGTGGTCTCAGACGTTTCAATTAAATCCCTGTCTTTGTTCCAAGTGGTCTTAAGCAATTAGCTTAGTTTTTATATGAAAACAAATACGGAAACTGAGCTTTGTTGTGGCTATCTCTGTTTTCTGAGCTGAGCTTAATTGGTTTTCGGAAATTTGAGCTTTAATTTGGGCACGTTGTGTGTGGTTTTTGCGAATCAAAGTGATTTTCGCGTTTGGGCGAGCTAGCGTCAGCGTTTTGAATGTTTTGTTAGACATAGGAATGAATGAATGAATGAATGGATTGTTATGCCAAAGATTTGCGATGTTCCTGTTTGAGGGGGATTTTAGATAATTTTGGGGTTAAGTGGCGTAAAAATTTGAGGGTTCCGTTTAATATCGACGGTTTATAAGGGTGTTCTTTTAAACTTCAGGTTTTTTGCTGATCAGCAATAACAGTATTCCCCATTTCTCATAAAGAAAATAAAAACTGAGCGCTCAGCAACTTGCCCCAGCTTTTCATTCTAACAATAACATCTCAGAATATCAAACCAAATAAATGATTCAAATGTAAGTAACGAGCTGAAATTTGAAATTCAGACTAGGCATTGTTATTTTATTAATTTGAAACAAAGACGTTTAAGTTTCAAAGCAAAGATGCTTAAATTGTAATAAACTCATAGATCTTAAAATTTCTCTATACAATGGAAATTCTAGAATAATATTTAGCATTTCATAAATACTAACATTTTTAGACCTAACTGTGCTTGAGACTGGGTACAAGTGCTCTGGAATTAGTTTAGTTTTTAATCAAAACTTTATTCGATTTCTACCAAGATTTGTAGTCACAAATGTGCTTAGTTCGCTTACTGGAAGTCGTAAATCGTAAGCTCGATAGCGCATAGTTTCAAAGGACCCTCGAGGAAATTATATAATAAACAAAAACAACATTTAAACTAACATAAAACACATAGCCTAGCATTCTTTATAAAGCTCTCAGTTTAAAGATCCAATTTCAGATTCGTAACACCCAAAATTAAAATGGGGTTACTTCTGGACAATCATTATTTGTGCTTAGTCATTAATAAAATGTATAATCTCTGGGAGCTAGATAAAGTGCGACGTACCGACCTTGAGTCGCCAGCGCGTGCACAGCGGCAGGCTTGACACCGCGCAGCGCCGGGTGGGCGTGCAGCACGCCGCCCAGCACTGGGCTGCTCAGCCCGAGGATATCGCCACCACCTGGTTAGTTTACGTTAGTGAGCTTAGTTTTGACTGAATTTGGCTTTCGTTATTTGTTAAGTGTGGTATTGTTAGTAGATTAGTTTTGATGATTACGTCTCTGAGCGGCTATATTAAAATATTTTTGGGGGCAAACGAACGAGCCACCAGCGTTTTTTACTTTTCATTTGTTGATGAATATTTTCTGATAAGTGTTTTATGAATTAGTAACGTATGTCATATAAAGCCCCGTCCATACGCTTGGCAAACAATGGCAAACACCAAACAACAAACAGCAATCACCTACATGTGGATGGGTGTTTGTATGTGTTTGCCTGTTCCTGCAACACAGATCAAAGGCTGTTCGGCAAACAGTTTGCGATGCATCCACAGGTTCGCTACACATCGATGTTCGGGACTTTATTTGTTGTGTAGTATTTGTGGCAAACATCAATCGTGTGGACGGGGCATAATAGGCAATAGTTACTTTTAAAATAAGAGCATTTTGTTGTAAAAGGATTATTTTAAAGTTGTAGAGATGTCGATAAAATAAAAAAAAAACGCTAGTGGTTCTATTACTGTGCACCGAATTGTATGATAGACCAACTATAACTAGATGACAGTATGGTTTATATTTATGACTAATGAATGTTTTAACCGAAAAAACTGTATATTCGTGACTATATTTATCCTACTTAACAGTGTAACACCCACTTTTCACTACTTATGTTATAAGTCCCATCTAATAGTGGGTGAGCCTATTGCCATATACCGGGCACAATTCCAGACTCCGTGCTACTACTGAAAAACCTAGTAATATATCGCCGGACCCGGAAATTGAATCCGAGTCTCTTTGCCCGGCAGTCGCACTTGCGACCACTCGGCCAATGGAGTAGTCATTATAAGCCGTAATGTACACCTCTGCCCACCTCTTCGGGGATAAAAGGCGTGATGATATGTTTTATTCTACTACAATGAAGATGTAGAATATGAACAACATTGATAATATTATAGCATGTAGTAAAAAAATAATGATTTTAAGAAGTATACCCGGGTGTATACTATGTTTTGCACGAACAAAAATGAAGTGATACGTAAAGTAAACTCATTACTTAGTTATCGTGTTAATTAACAGATATTGTTTATTGATAAATTAAAACGAATGACTATCGAATGCAGTCCATACAAAAAAATAAAACTCAAACATTTTAAAAGCATTACACACACTGTTAAAATAAAAAAAAACAAACGAAAAGAGACTGAAACAAAAGCTTTAAAATAACGTTGTTTATTTTTTACAATGAGAAAAGTTTCAGCAGAATAAAATATCGGAAACCCCTTATTTAACCTTTCTTGTGTTCAAATATACGCTATATTTTCTGAGCTTAGTTCTGGAGCGTTACTTTGTGCTTAGTTTTTGAACTGTGCTTAAGTTTGGAAAGTATCGTTGCAACTAATGATCAGTAGTTGAAAAGTTTCTTGTGAATTGTTTAAAAGTTAATGGACCGTTGTTTTGTAAGTATACCGTCGAGTTTGGTAGACCGTTGAGAAATAAACTAGTTCGCACGTTGAATCTTTGCTAACTACACTTGAAGTCATTAGTGTACTATGGAAATTAATTCTAATTTGTAAAGCTCAGACGTTCCTTAGAGATTATTTGTCAAAATAACTTTGAAAAGAATTTATTTAATGGCTTTTGTAAATAATCTTGGAAAGTGTCAGGAGAATTTTCTTACAAGTATTTTTGGAGAGAAACTGTCAAACTCAATATAGATTTAGGGGCACTAATGGCTTTTTTCAACACAATGGTGAGGAGTACTCGATACCCTCGCGTTATTTCTGAAACGTATAGATTTGATGCTTAAAGATTAGCAATATACTTGAAAATTCTATTACTTAAGTCACGTCTTTAAGTAAATGTAGCCCTATTCGTACGTTTGATTAGAATTAACGTGTTTTTTTTAGAAGGCAAACGAGCAGACGCTGGGATGCTGGAGATACCGTGGACAGCTCACCATACAAATGTTTCTATTCTGAAGGAGCTAAAAATAGACGAAACTCAGCGCTTGTCCACAGTTTGCTTGCAAAGGATTGTGCGATACTTTGGCCATATTGTTCGCAGAGATGCTAGCAGTCTGGGACGCCTCATAGTGACTGGTAAGGTAGAAGGAAAGAGACCGAGAGGCCGGAGTCCTATGCAGTGGTCTGACCAAATATCCAAGGAGCTGGAGATACCTATGAATGTTGCAATGCACCAAGCAACGGAACGATATAAGTGGCGACATCTAGTCCAGCAGAATCAAAGGGAGTCACGATCCTCAGCAGTGAGGAACTCGATTAAGAAGAAACGAGCAGACGGATCACCTGATGGCTTGCGACACCCGTTTTTGAAGTAAATCCATTCAGCACTTTTTGAAATCATCCCAGACATACATAAAGAAAAACAGACAAACATTCTAAAAACCATTAATTTGGTTTTAGTATCGACTATATAGATCATGACCAAAGTATTCTTTATAAAAAAAATAATGTACACTTATGACCTTTCTACGATTTTATTATATTATTATGTATAGATAGATACAAATATATGTAGATATAGATATAGAAGATGCGAGTGTGTTTTTTTCACGTCGTCGTGACGAAACGGTTTCATGGCATTATGGTATCTGTGTCAGGAGATAGTTAGGGTGCTGGGCAGTGATTTAGACAACTTGTTTTCCTTTGAAATAATATAACATATGTTATGTTATGTTTTCCTTTGATCAGTAACAACTACTTAATTCTATAATAATGTCAAGTGTCTGTCTATGACGGATAGAAACCAATTCAAGGTCTTGTACAACATATTCTTTCTCTTTCTTTCTTCTACTAAAGCTGAAGAACTCTCTTAGGAGATTGGATAGAGTAAACTAGAACTAGAATACAAATAGTTTTATATCTAAACTTACCAAGTATAGAGTTTTGTGTGAGCAGGTGATGAGTGGGGGGTTGTTGCAGCACTCCCCCTCCCACCAGCACGCCGTGTCCCGTGTGACCAGCTGCCAGCTGTGGACAAATTTATCAGGATTAGTATGGCGCAAGGATTGTTAGTATTTCTAGTAATCGTACCTCAGTGGGTACGTAATTAAGTCCTTATAGGCTAGTTATAAATTTTCTAGTTAATATGATTTTATTGTTATGTATGTTGTCATTAATTTTAATGAAAAAAGACTGTAATTCTTTTTGCGTAATCTTAAAATAAAAATGAATATTCGTTCATTAGTCTCGCTAAAACTCGAGAATGTCTGAAACGACTTGGTTAATTTTGGTTTTGAAACGTTCGTGGAAGTCCAGGGAAAAAAATTTAATACGGTACAAAGTTTGCCGGGTCACCTAGTCTTTCCTAAATAGCATAGAACCACAGAACTTAATAAATATAAGCACATAAAATATAACCACTTGAAATATAAAATGCAACTCAACTCAATATTTCCTATTGATAAACAATACAAACGGACGATTACCTCAGAATAGCCTAACACACAACCCAATATTTAACCATACGACCTAAAATTATAGGTAACAGAACGAAAGAGACAAATTTTTTCGCACACACTTTTGTGCCCTGAAAAAAGTGACTAAAAAGGCTTTTATTCAGCCAAAAATCCGATTTCACTGAAACAGTAGTCATCCAATACGGCTTTGGCCTCTATGACATCCCGCTGTGAATAAATACGGCGACCACTACTGAATTTCAGGTCCGTGACTGTCTTTCAACTACGTAAAAATTCATCGTGAAAATTGGGAGTGAATTTTTTTTTCGGACGCTGAATCTGAAAAAGGTTTCAGGTATTCAGGCGAAAGCTCTTGTTGAGTCTGTTTGAGTGGACTACAAGTAATTGCGTATTGGTCAAAGAATGTGGGATTTTTCGAAAATACGTTTTTCGGTTATCGGCGCTTTGAAAAATTGGTTAGCAAAAATAGCATTGACTGAAACGGTTTGTTGAAAATAATATTCGTCTGTTTGTGTCTTCAAAGGAATGTGGACTTCCGTTTATTATGTTGCTAATCTATTAATAGCTTATAAATAAATAAATATTCTCGTTAAATAGTTAAATTCTTTTGTCTCATTATTATAGCTATTATTTATTTGGGTGTCCAATACTTTTAATTTTTATTTATACCACAAACGATTTTCGTTCATTACAATCTCTAAATCAATGAACAATTCCAAATAAAAAATATGCTTAGTTGTTACGCCGTGCGTACGGCGCTTCACGTTCCGCGTGCACTTCAAGGAGCCATAAGACCACCACAGAGCACACCAATAGGGCTGATGCCGACACGAAGCCGCGGAGGACTTAACGGGTTACCGGGGTTCCGGTTCGAAGTGCAGAAGTAGGAACAGGGTGGTTTTTTAATTGCTACGCCGTAGTACGGTATCTGCTACGTCGTAGCACACTGCTACGAAGACGTAGCCAGCGCCTCTACTACTTGGACTATGATAACTTGGACCGTTATTACTATCAAAATAACGAGTCCCATCCAAGAACTGACCGTAGCAAGCATTCTTTAATCTAATTTCATCAACATCAAGCTGCATTAACGTACCCTTAAGTTCAAAAACACCATAAATGTTCGTATACATGCATATACCATAAAAACTTTTGTTATGGTGTGTTTCCCCATGTACCGTCTCCCATAAAACTTGATCAAATATTGTTTAGTACTTTAATGAAGCAAAGTTTTAATGATACGATCTTTGAAGACTTATTTTGTTTGGTAAACCGCAAATTAGAAGATAGGTTTATTGCGAAAATGGACTCTAAAGCTATGATGATAAGATGCTTGATTGTTTTATGTCAAAGGGTTGAGGAGTTTGTTTGAGGGCAGTTATAATAAGTTTACACGTGTGCGTTATAAAATCATATTTATTGTTCCCAGAAGAGGTAAGTAGTGGCATTATTTGTGCCTGTCTCATTCCAGTTATGATGTGTTTTGTTTCCTTATCATAACATAGCATAAAACAAAGTCGCTATACGCCGTCTGTCTGTCCCTATGTATGCGTAGATCTTTAAAACAACGCAACGAATTTTGATGCGGTTTTAATCACTCTATCTATTAAGATAGAGTGATTCTTAAGGAAGATCTATATGTATAACTAGTGTGGGGCAACAATTTTTTTAAATAATTATTTAATATTTTAAATGTCGTATGACATATTTTTATAACGGCGCGCTTACAACCACGCCCTGCCAGAGCCACGCTTGTTAAGTTTATTGCTTGTACCTTTACATTTGCCTATCGTTTTTGACGAACGACACAACGTAGACAGTAGGCATGATGTATGTAAAATTTTCTACTTATATATAAAATACTATATAAAATACTAAGTAAGTATTTATTTATAGTTATTTATTATCAATATTTGCTTAGTCACCTGCCACTTTCATCTCTGCACCACCTTAAGGTCGACTGTGAGACAATGCCCAAGGCATTAAGTCCACCTGTACATTTGATACTGTACTAAGTCTTAAATAACATCACGCCTTTTTATTCCCGAAGGGGTAGGCAGAGGTGCACATTTCGGCACTTGACGCCACTGTACAATGTAACACCCACTTTTCACTATTTATGTTATAAGTCCTATGTAATAGGGGGTGAGCCTATTGCCATATTCCGGGCACATTTCCAGACTCCGTGCTACTACTGAGACTTTTAAAAAACCCAGTAATACTTTGCACGACCCGGGAATTGAACCCGAGACCCCTTGCCCGGCAGTCGCACTTGCGACCACTCGGCCAACGAGGCGGTCTTAAATAAATAAATTATTGCTATCTTTCATAACAATCCGACTTATAATTTTGTAACAAAGTTCGATTCTAACCATTCTCTCCGGAATAACAAGCACAAAGTTGTTCCATTCTGTCAGTACGTGCATAAGTGACGGACTTAACTTAGTTAGCGAGAGATTTGCTACGAACTTGGAACTTTCTAGCTCTCTAGTTGACCGATAAACTATAGGGCATTAGAGACTGCGCCTAGGAATTTAGACCTTAAAGACTTAGTGGGAGTTGCTAAAGTGGACCTATATATTATAGGGTTAGAGTTTAGTGTTGAATGTGTTTTAGGTAACATGTGAGTGTTGGTTGGTTGGTTAATTAATTTTCGTAGGATACTAGTGTCAGATATTTCATTTTTAATGATTAAAATGATAAGTATAAAGACAGAGCATTTGTTCGTACAGTAAAATTCACTTTGAGATAGTTATAGCAGTGATAGTTTGGATCAATACATAACAGAACATAACATTACGCCTTTTATTCCCGAAGGGGTAGGCAGAGGTGTACATTACGGCACTTAATGCCAATATACAATGTAACACCCACTTTTCACTATTTATGTTATGAGTCCCATGTAATAGGGGGTGAGCCCATTGTCATATACCGGGCACAATTCCTGACTCCGTGCTAATACTGAGATTTTTTTTAAAACCCAGTAATACTTTGCCCGACCCGGGAATCGAACCTGAGACCCCTTGCCCGGCAGTTGCACTTGCAACCACTCGGTCAACGAGGCAGTCCATAGTACCATTAAACTGAAGCCTTAGTACGAGTTCGTTTTACGAGTACACATTCTGCGTTCAGATTGGCCGGCTCCAATAAACCAACCAGTCAAAGCACTTACCGCGGTCTCGTTTCGATTACTTTAAACAAAAAATATACTCGTTCTAAGCCCCCAGAACACAGTACACCGAGTTCTTAGGTTGACAGGAAATAAAGATTCAGTACAGATACAGTAACTATTGTTTTATATTGAATTGTATGCTTAACGAATCTATGTCTTGTTACCAAGTTGTAGTAGTTGGTTTCCGATTTGAACCAATGTATATTTTCTTTATCATCATCAGCATCATTAACAGCCTATAAATGTCCACTGCTGAGCAAAGCCTCTTCTCACGCGGAGAAGTTTTGATCATTAATCACCACGCTTGCTCAATGCGGGTTGGCAATTTCAAACTTAGAATTAGAAATTATAAGCTCAGGTTTCCTCACGATGTTGTCATTTACTGTTTGTCAGTGGTGTCTAAATAATCTTAGAAAGTATATAATAACTCGGAAAGAGTCACATTGGTACTTGCCGTTGGTAGGTTTAGAACCCGCACCCTCATGCATGAGAAGCGGGCATCTTAAACCTCCGGGCCACCCCGACATACATGTTTATTTTCTTACATGCGTGCTATGTATTGTGTACATTTACAATAGTATTCTCTGGACTTACCTGATGATGTGCAGCAGACAAATGATCAGGTGCTGGTGTCGGTGCTGGTGGCGAGAAGTCCCGAGTGTTGGTGCCATGGTTGATGGCGATGCCACCAGGCAGAGACGCCGGCGCCGGAGATGGAGGCACTCCGGAGAGCTGGAGGTGTAAAGAGAATGAGTAAGTGATTTTGAAAGTATTTTTTTTCTTGCATGGCAACATATTTTTGTTTAGGGTTATAATATAACGACTTTGACGCATAACTGTTACATGTTCAAATTGTTCTTCGGAGATTTGTAGCTGGTGTAAAATGAGTGTTACTGAAACATCTACTAAGGCCCGGCGCCAACTATCGGCATCAGCACGTTTGGAGATTTTAGGTGGCAAATAGCAATATTTATTAACCCATATCTTCCCACCGCCCCATTTAAGGTGCGCTTATATTTTTATGTGACAAGGCTACATTTTCACAAGTGAGGGTAGATGCTATTTTTTTTCATAAACTAGACACTTTTGCAATCAATCTAATATTAGTTAACAGTAACTGTGTTGTTTCGTTATATTTTTATAAATCTTCAAGTTTTGTGAATTTCAACCAACATGAGTGCCCGCAAAATGTAAGTAATAACTTTCATACTATTTATTTATAAGTATCATGATATAATGTTTTTAGTAGGTGATTTGTTACACTCTTGGATAATATTATGAGCATAATGATATTTCGTTTCCTTTTATGACTTTTACAAGGTTATATAGAACGCCCCATTTGAGGTGCGTTGGGAATAGAAGGCATCATGGTTGATTGATGCAAAGATGTTTTATGAATGTAATTTTTTATGTAATCAGAGTTAACTTTTCTTTTTTTTTTTGTTACAGTTTGACTGTTCATGAAATTATATCGTGTTTAGAAGAAGATAGCCGTACAATTTCTGCTGACATTTATATCACACCTCCGGAAAATGACGATTTGAGTGATGAAGATAGTGGAAGCGAGGAAACAGCGGATATAAGTAATCTAGCGCGTCGGCAATTGTTAGCCGAAGCTGAGGTTCGACGTACGGTTCCATCGTCGGAAGGAATTTTGGAAAATGTGGACGGTTTTGATCAGGAAGAAGAGGAGGAGCCCCCAACAACATCTCAAGCCATAGAACGACCTGCAAAAAAAGTTAAGACTATGGTTACAAGGAAGTGGAGATATACAGATATATCAGTAAAACCTGAAAAACAAACCGTAATACCCGACTTTGTTTTAGATAAAGATAATCCATTACAGTTTTTTGAGATGTTTTTTGACAACGAAGTTTTTGAACTACTGCGTTCTAGTACCGAAAATAATGCTATTGCCAAAGGACACGTAAATTTTAGACTCACGATTGAAGAAGTAAAGAATTTTATAGGAATTTTACTATTGTCTGGTTATAATAACGTATCGCGTTACAGATTATACTGGGATCAGAGTATAGATACTCATCACCCTGGAGTTGCTTCATGCATGACGCGTAATCGTTTTGATGAGCTTCTGCGATTTTTTCATGCATGCGATAATAGTAGTCTCCCTCCCGATGACAAATTTGGTAAAGTAAGACCTCTTTGGGATATGATGAATGAAAGATGGCTAAAATTCTTTCCCGGTGACAAACATTTGTCGATTGATGAATCTATGGTGCCTTATTTTGGAAAACATGGAACCAAACAACACATACATGGTAAACCTATACGGTTTGGTTACAAAATTTGGTCACTTTGTACACGATTGGGTTATCTCATTTATGGTGAACCATATCAAGGGGCTAAAACCGGCAATACCAATCCAAATCTTGGAGTAGGTGGTTCCGTGGTGACTAATTTGATTTCCAAGCTGCCAGCCACAGACCATTATAGTTTTTATACGGATAACTTTTTTACATCTTTGCGATTACTGGATGAAGTTGGTCAGATGGGTCACGACATCACTGGAACTCTTCGGGCTAATAGAACTGAAGGAGCGCCGCTGAAAGATATAAAAGAGATGAAAAAGACTGCTAGAGGTTCTTTTCATCAAATTACGGATGTATTATCAAATTCTACATTAGTGCGTTACAATGACAATAACATCGTAACTATAGCTTCGACAGAAAGCGGTGTTCAGCCAATCGGCAAGGTGAAAAGGTGGACCAATAATAAACGAATTGACGTAGATCAACCTCACTGTTACCAACTATATAATAAATACATGGGCGGAGTCGACAGACTTGACCAAAATGTTGGTAAATATAGAATCGGTATTAGACTAAAGAGGTGGTATTGGCAAATGATGATGTTTCCGATTAATGTGTGTGTAAATAACGCATACCAATTGTACCGGCTATCGCCAGCAGGTCAAGCTAAAGATTCTCACGATTTTTTATCATTTACAAGATATATAGTACAAACTTATTTGATTCTTGGCAAAGCGTCATCGTCTCTCCCAAAACGGATCGGCAATAAAACAGCTATGCCTAAAAAGAAAAATCTGCCTGATTCAATAAGATTAGACGGTAAGGATCACTACATAATCAGAAATGAAACACAAGTTCGGTGCCGTGAATGTCACAAGAATACTAAGTTTAGGTGCAGTAAATGTGGTGTGGGTTTGCATCAACATTGCTCGAAATCTTTCCACACTGAAAAATAAGTTTTTTTTTATTTGTTGTTTTTTTTTTAATCCTATGTTTATTGGTTTCATATAATTTGTTTCATTTTTGCCAATTTTCTTGTCATGTTATAAATAAACGAGCTCCAACATACATTGTGTGAATTATTTCTCTATGCATAATCTATAGGCATATTTTCCCAACGCCCCATTTAAGGTGCGGTCCTGAAATTCAAGTTCTATAAAACGTATAAAAAATTAATGCATATTTTTGTGTGTTATAAGAGCTACTTTTTAGATATATATAATCAAAACTACTTTTTTTTAAAAATTTAATACCTTGGGAAGATATGGGTTAATATAATGGTAATAAAGTAGAATTTGCCATGGTCGTAATAACAAAAATACCGCTTTGGTATGCTTGAGGCTGCTGTATTGGCTATATTTATGAAACGATTTAGAATTATATGTATATATAGAACGCTAAACGATTTAGATATAGATTAGATAAATCTATATCTAAATCGTTTAGATAAAGATATAGATTAGATAAATCTATATCTAAATCGTTTTTCTCCGTAATATTGTTTACAATAAAAAACCATATAATAATCAGAAATTTCAATATCTTAGGAAGACATTTTACATTATTTTAAAGGGAAAGTGCTTGTGGTAATTGCCAAGAAGTAGGCGGGTACAAGTAAAAAACGTTTTGTAATCATTACGCATAATAAGAGTGCCCTTAAACACAAGTACTTCGCCGAGACGGTGGCCACTTCAAGTATTCATGTTTGAATCAGCTGTTTGTCAGCGTTCTGTCTTCAAAGTATTTTCTCTTTGAAAAGCAAACTACGTTTGTAAGCGAAACTTATTTCTTTTCATTTATTTTATTCTAGAAGCCTTAGATCTTAAATATAAATAAATCATAATTATTATAAATAATAATTAATAATGGCAATAGGCTCACGCCCTATTACATGGGACCCATAACATAAATAGTGAAAAGTGGGTGTTACATTGTACAGTGGCATTAAGCGCCGTAATATACATACACCTCTGCCTACCCCTTCGGGAATAAAAGGCGTGATGCTATGTATGTTTATGTTTATGATAAATATTATTTCCTTTATTTATTTTTATTTAATACGCTTCATGCACAAAATGTACAAATAGATGGACTTAATGCCGCAGGCATTTTCTACCAGTCTAATCTTTGGGTGATGCAGAGAAGAGTAATTGGTAGGTGCAAGAGGCAAGTAATGATTTTATTTGAAAAAATCAAGATAAACTTGTATATTTGTTTGTTTTCATACTTGATTTATACATTTTTAAATATTTGATTACAAAAAACATATAAGATATAAATAACAGTAGTTCATCAGTAATGGGAGAAGTCCAAGCTGCCAGTGGTCAGGGCTCCAGAGAGAGGAATTCCTGGACAATACGCGCCGTGTCCAGAAGTACTGCTTTCTACATCAGGTCCTTGACCCAAACATCTAACGCTAGCTTCCTCAGGTGTTGGTCAAGGCTTTTAGCAATTAGCTTTTAGCGGATACGACTATCGGCGCAGTGATTGTTGAATCCACATCCCATGTGTCGACAATAGCATGAGCTAAATCAAGATGTTTATTTCTATGTTCATTATAATTTGGCTAATTTTGATAATTTGTATTTTGTCGTGCTGGTTAGTTAGGAGAAAGATTTTTTGAAAGATAGATATAACTCCAAAAATAGTGGTAATTCTTTTTATGGCTTGGGCCTTTAGTAATGCATATATTTGATTTTTATAATAACTATCGTGAAACATACTAAATTAACTAAAAATCGCGGGTTACTCATGTAAAAATACTGAGAAAAGCTCTACTAGTTTCGAGTCACAGAGGGGCTCTTCCTCATGAGCAGCGTACACGATCGCGGCAATGTCGCGCAGCCTAATGATCAGTACCTGACGATTTGTAGTTAATTTAACATATTTGATTTTATGATATTTCACTTTTTATGAATCGGTATTTCGATGTCAGCAACGTTTAGTATTTGGACGAGCAATATAAAAGGCTAAATACGGATATAATATAAAGTTTCAAGGAAACGCCTACGCGTTTTAAGAATAAGTGTGATTCAAGAAATATTAGAAGTTACGCTTTTGTAAGTAAATATTTCTATTCAAATTAGGACATGACATAATAGGTGAACAGTACACGTGTAACTTAACTAATGGAATGTATGAAAAGCTATTTCAATTCCAGCTACGAAGTACAGTTACCAGCACGAATAGAATAAAATAATTATTTATTTGCTCAGAATGCAAGTATTTACAATAAGGTAATATTGAAACACTAATAAGATATTAAGTTATACATATTGTCTGGACTTTAAAAGAGACAGATCTCTGAGTTTGTTTCGGCATTTCTTCTCAGAGTAGTCAGTTAGGCATGTCGGCCTCATCGTTCGCTTGATAAAATTGCTGGCCACGGTAAATACGAGCAGTCCACCTATCACAAACCCTGGGAGTGCGATCTCTGGCAATATGAACGTAACACTATGTTAAATAATTTAATAGTTTCGTCAGGTGTTGCTATTTAATTTTTTTTTTTCGTTTTTGCCATACCTATTATTGGAAGCAAGTATAACAGCTCACACATAGGACCCACTTAGATTTTAGTCAAACCCAGTTGTACAGTCTCTTCTTTGTGCCTTTAGGCTTAACTCATTCTGTCTCTTGCAGTAATTCACCGAGGGAAGTGGAAACTGTCGTTTTTTTTCTTCTCCTCTTATAATCTATCTTCTGACTCACTTCGTTGCGGGAACCAAGACAGTTATTCATGTCCCTGAGACGCGCACGGACTTCAGTGTTCTGGTGTTCTCATGGTTGTATCTACTGTAGACCCTGGCTTACAGGAGTTGCAGCGGTTTTGGGAGGTTGTGGCTTGTCCCATTAAAAAAAGAATAAGAATATCACACTGAAAAACTGATTTCAAGGAAACAGTCTAATAAATCACAATTGTGTCCATACGTGAATTCAAAACGATAATATTATTATCCTCCCATGACATTCGCAGATCCGTACCAATTTTTATACTATAACTTTATGGATATCCATATAATTTTTTATTCGTCAGCTCTGAATGGCCTAATAACGGATCACTGGACCCTTATCCGTCAATAGGGCGCGTCCAATCTACGGTCCATTGTGAAGTGCGTGGGTGTTCCGTAACAATTTTGATTTCGTTCGTACGTGGGCGGTGCGCATATGGGATTTTTTTTTGTGTACGTGAAATAGTTTCGGAATAAAAGTGCCTGTTATTTTGCTTTTTGTAAAGGAGTATTTGAATGTAAGTGTAGCATGTGTTTTTTGAAAAATATAAATTGGGTTGGACATAAATTAAACTTGGATGTTTGGACATAGAAATTTGTCCATATATTTATAACTGTTTAGTTCACGATATGAATTTTGAGCACTCCGATAAAAATTTCTAACGGTATCCACGAAAATTCTCCCAAACTTAAAGATTATTCTTTAATAGACTAGCCAACATCATAAAGAGAAGAATAACTTACTCTCTGTTTATGCGTCGTATCCCTAAGTGGGAGTGCTTCTTCGCTGCCGCTCCGGGAGGACTCGGGAGGAGTGAGACGGCGCTGCTCGGTCTGTGAGGACAGAATCTGCATCTCCAGCATCTGCTCCTGTCTGATGTCATCGTTGTAGTCCTGCGAAGGAGTTTGGAAGTTAGTACTTGGTTATAACTCGATAATGAATTAAGACTCTCGGGATAGTAAAATATTTCTGAAGTCAGGTTTCATTCGTTTTTTTCTAAGCTTAGAATGATGTGTAATAAATAATTATACTGATTTTTTTTATAAAATTCGACCTCGGTATGTAACCTTATCTGTAAAAACTGAATGTTACGTTTATTATGTGCATGTAGTTACTTTTATAAAACTATTATGTGTGCTTAATTCTTTCTACAACGCCTCGATGTTACGGTAATTCCTAGATTTACTTTATGGTCAAGACTAGAATCTAGCATAACTATGTTATGTTCCACAGGAAGTTAATATACTATAGTAAAAATGAATTTATAAAATTGTTTCATATTCTGAGAATCTCCATCGCATTTGGAACTTATAAGCCATATATGTACTTTTGCCTAGGTATTCTAGGGTGTAAATCTAGTCAATAGGTCGCTAGGTCATAAAATATTAAGTTGTTACGTTTTATAGCAACTGTCATAAATCTTCCTTCGAATCAAAATTTCCAGCTGTATGTAGTATATCGCCTAATATTTCACAAAGGAACAGACAGTGTACTTAGTTCCATTGTCAGAGTGTTATTTTTCCGAAATACTTGACATAATTTCCGACTGTTTTGAATTAGTTTTCTATTTACCTCTTCGGAGAATAATAATCTTCATAAATCTTTACTAGTATCATAAGCTGGAAAGATATCATTGTTTGTATTTTCACACTTAATAGCCTTTGAGGCTAATAAATTGACATCATTTCATTTACATAAGGTCACATAGAAAAATTACGATCGCAACATATTCAAACATGGCCGTGGTAGTCCGAAGGTGAAGCCCGCTTCTCATGCATAGGGTGCGGGTCTGAAATCTACCAACGCAAGTACCAATGTGATTTTTTCCGAGTTATATGTACTTCTAAGATTATTTAGACACCACTGACAAACGGTGAAGGAAAACATCGTATGGAAACCTGGGCTTATAAAATTGCCAAACCGCTGATTGAGCTAGGTGCGTGGTGACTAATTCCTACCTAATGACCAACTCCGTGTGAGAAGAGGTTATGTTCAGCAGTGGGCATTTATGGGCTATTGATGATGTTCCTACAGGGTCCTGGCTCAAGAGATACCCAAAATTGTAAGCAAGTGAAGCCGCAGACTCGAAGCTAGTTTAATGCACATTAAGCTCAAATAGTAGAGGAACAAATCATTAATTTGAAAGTCATCTATAATTTACGAGAGTTTAACGACAGAAGATTTTATGATATTTTGACGACAGTGTTTGATGGCGTCGTCATAATATATGTTTTATGGGAAACTAGATGTTACTCGTTGTTCGAGTCCTTTTGTTCCGTATCTAAGATTTAATATAAATTTTCTAGAAGGTGTAGGCAGTATATATGTATTTACATTGTAACATTTACTTTATAGTTATGTTATGAGTTCTATATATAGGTATAATAGGGGTGTACTTATTATTGCTTGAAGCCATCTATTTTAAGTGTGGAGAGCCATGCTTCGGCACGAATGGGCCGACTCGACCGGAGTGATACCACGGTCTCACAGAAAACCGACGTGAAACAAAACTTGCGTTGTGTTTCATTTTCGTCTTTTGGGTGAGGTTACCGGAGGTCCAATTACTCCCCCCCCAATCTCCCAAATCCCCGAATCCCCAACAATCCGTAAATTCCTAATCCCCAAATGGCTAAGAACGCACATGCAAAACCTCTGGTGTTTGGGTGTCGATGGGCAGTGCTAATTGATTACCATCAGGTGATTTGTCTGATTACCTCACATTTACCGGCTATGTCCATAAAAAATATGTTTAATTAAGTAGAAAATCGAAAATCCAACATATTTTTTTTTAAATAAGTGTCAAACCCTTGATTCCATAACCTGTGTAACGTATTGGCCTATAAGGTTTATTTCCCGACTTAAAACACCAAGTTCACAACCATGATTATACTTACAATGTAATATTAACAACTAAAGCGCACCTTTCTAAAAATGTTGCTTCAAAAATACGCGAGTACGAGCAGAAATACGCAAATAGCGTAAGCTTGTCACTCTAGCATACATTTTGTACTACGTAATGCTACGCATGTATCGTATGGCGTATTAAAATTCAGTAGTTAATATCTCAGGGGCGTTTTACCTCTCTGTATGTGCCAAAAACATTGGTAGCGTGATCATTTATGTAGTGAGCGCATATTGGTAGCACAAACAGAAATATGAGTGGGGAAATTGGAATGGTTGTTGTTTTTTCTACTTTATGCTTCAAATAAAAGGCTTCATTTTTCAATGTCAGAGGTGTAAATCTTTCGTTATGTTGTTTGGTATAAAAATACTGGATTTTTTCTATGGCTTTGGTCGTGTTAATGTTTGTTCATGAAAGTTCCTTTTTGGTTTTTTAATAATTTCTTTGTAATCGGTTACAGAGTTTGCATGACAACCTGTTTATGGTTTTTTTTATGGCATAAGCCGGGAAACGAGCTGACGGATCACCTGATGGTAAGCAATCGGCGTCGCTCATGGACACCTGGAACACCAAAGGCATTACAAGTGCGTTACTGGCCTTTTGGGGATTAGGAGTTTGAGGATCGTTGGGGATTCAGGAATTGGGGGGATTGGTGAAGGGGAGGGTAATTGGGCCTCCGGTAACCTCACTCACACGACGAAACACAACGCAAGCGTTGCTTTACGTCGGTTTTCTGCTCGGCCGTGGTATCACACCGGTCGAGCCGGCCCATTCTTGCCGAAGCATGGTTCTCCCACACTACTTGAAAATATTTGGTAATTCAAGTAGACTATTTTCTATAGAATGGAGCCAATGAGCAGGAGTATCACCTGATTGTAAAAAATCTGATGTCCATGGACATGCGGAACACCAGAGGAGGTTCAAGAATGAGTACCTATTATTTTGAAGATTTAAAAATATCATCTTATTTAACTTGGTGAGTACCATCATTATAGACACAATTATAGAACAATAGGTTGCGGTCACCGGTGACCGCTTGGTGTTTGTCAGTTTAATTCCATCAAATTATTTTTAGGACTGGCGCCCGAATGCTGATTCAATTCTAAGTCGCGCTTAAGTTAGTTCTATCTCTACAAATTCTTAGTATAATGACAGAGATGACATAATATTTAATCGGTATGATGACGGGGTACGAAAATTGAAAATCTATTTAGTCCGTAAGTTAGGTAATGAAAAAATATTATACACGTATTTTTTTATTTTGTTGTATACTAAACTAGTACTTATATAAAACGAATCAAAGTTTAGAAGTGGGGGCTAAAACGTCATTTCTACGTATAAAATGTACATAGAAGTGACGTCACACGACACTTGAAATCAATATATCGTAAGAAATATATGTAAGAAAATAAATAATATGTGTCTAGTGCTTTAAAGTAATCTACCAGACGGACATTAAAATAAAAATTAGGCATCTATCCTATTGCAACTTAAACTATCAAAACGCGAGGACACCGGTGACCGCAACCTATTGTTCTTTAATTGTGTCTATAATGACGGTACTCAAAGGGTTAATATTGAGTAGTCTTTCAGTATTCAAGCGTTGGCATAGGTACTTACCGGTACTAGGAATCTCCTGAGTTCAGCTAGTGCGTACGCGATCCTGGCGTGTGCTTCAGCTGGTGTAGCGAAGGCGCTGATCTCAACGTGGAGTTCATCAGATAGATGAGCAAACTTCGGATCTCCTGACACACGGAGCTCTTCCTCCTGGAAGAATAAATTTGATTAATAATGAAACATAACATTAGGTGCACATTACGGCACTTGATGCCACTAGGTATGTACAATGTAACACCCACTTTTCACTATTTATGTTATGAGTCCCATGTAATAGGGGGTGAGCCTATTGTCATATTGGATATGTGCACGACGGTGGCGACGCGTAGCGTCTAAAACATTTGCGGAAGCTGTCAAATAATAACAAGGTAAATATTATAATTTTCTTTGCAAATATAAATAAAATCAAAAATTAGAATAGTATTGTTAGTAGGTTGTAATTGGGGTTTCTGGATCAGGTCAGATCCAGAAACACCCAATTACAACCACCATTCATTCATTATTTTTCAATTATTCAGTTTCAGTCATTCCTAAGCATGTATTCAAGCATTTTGTGCTAACTTTTTTATTCAAAAGAATGATCTAGTAGTGACTCCTATATTCATATATATATCTATTCATTCAATATGCATTTTTATGTTCAATTTGTTTTCATATTATTAAATTAGTACGTTCATTCAACAACATTTGACACTCGTATCAAATTCGAGCAATACTCGATTCGATACGATAGCCTAACGAAAATGGAATGCGCTTGCTATTATCATTTGCGCTGCCTTATATAGGTACCCACGTAGTGCAGTAACTATAAAGTACATTTATAAGAATGAGGTAGCAAGAAAATAAAAATACGTATGTTAATTTCAATTATTTTATTTTAAAGTAAAATATACAAGTTCTAATATTTCATAGTCGATGCCTATTCATTAAAGTACCAGATACACATACTAATATTTTAAAGAATAAAACACTTATATATACGTAGTTATTACATAGTTGATTTTATTGTGTCTACACAATCAATACACAAATCTCTACTCTTGCTTTCAAAATCTTATACTCTTGGTTCGATGTCATCCTGAATTTTGGTAATTAATTCTTTCGTACTGGTGTATATA